TTTTTTTTGAGACAGAGCCTCAAGCTGTCCCCCTGGGTAGAGTGCTGTGGCATCACAGTTCACAGCAACCTCCAACTCCTGGGCTCAAGTGAGTCTCCTGCCTCTGCCTCCCAGCAGCTGGGACCACAGGCGCCTGCCACAACGCCAGGATATTTTTTGGTTGCAGCCGTCATTGTTGTTTGGCAGGTCCGGACTGGATTCGAACCTGCCACCTTAGGTGTATGTGGCTGGTGCCTTAGCCACTTGAGCCACAGGCACCAAGCCAACACCCAGCAATTTTTGGAGATGAGGTCTTGCTTTTGCTCAGGGTCGTTTTAAACTCTTGAGCTCAAGCAATCCACCTCCCAGAGTGCTGTGTTTACAGGCGTGAGCCACCGCGCCTGGCCTTACGTTAGCATTTTAGAGCACCCTGTTATGTGTCCCTTATGGAACTACTTATAACAGAACCGTGATTTAGAACAGTCTCTTTTTCAATAAATAAATCCTTTTTAATAACTAAATAAATCCTCATTTTACTTGGTTTATATCTTTAAGATTTACTAAACTTGAATAAAACTTATATCCTGTAATAAAATGTTAATGCTATTCCCTGTCCCCATCAAGGTAGGACAAAAATAGTTTGTTAAGCAACAATGTATCTTCTGCTTTTTTCCTGCTAAGTTTGGCTAAAGAGTTAGGTATATTTAAACTGTTGTTTTAAAACAGATTAAGATGTATTCTTTCTTTCTTTCCTTTAATTTTTTTCTGAGACAAAGTCGCACTCTGTTGCCCAGGCTGGAGTGTCCTGGCCTTAGCCTAGCTCACAGCAACCTCAGACCCTTGAGTTCAAGTGATCCTTCTGCCTCAGCCTCCTGAGTAACCGGGACTACAAGTGTGTGCCACTGTGCCCACCTGGTTTTTCTGTTTTTAGTAGGGACGGGGTTTCTCTCTTGCTCAGGCTGGTCTCAAACTCCTAAGCTCCAGTGATCCTCCTGTGCCTTGGCCTCCCAGAGTACTAGGATTACACATGTGAGCCACTGTGCTCGGCCAAGATATATTTTCTTACGGAGAAAGAAAAGTGACTCCACTTAGTCACTTACGTTATAAAATTTAGGTGAGTTTATAAAATAGGTGGGTTTGGGAAATGGAAGACACTTCCGACAGGAACTGTCCGTTGTTTCAAGTGCTGCCAACAGAGTGACTGGTTTAATCTGCAGCTTGGAGAATCACACTTTTTAGTTTTGATGTGCTGTGGAATGCTTCTCAGAGCCAAATGGATGTCTTTGTTGGTTTACTTTTAAGCAGCTTTATTGAGCTATGCATACTATACAATTTGCTCCTTGAAAATGAATAATTCGGCTCGGCGCCCGTGGCTCAAGTGGCTAAGGCGCCAGCCATGTACACCCAAGGTGGTGGGTTCGAATCCAGCCCGGGCCCGCC